TAGTTTATAATCCATTTTTTTTCTTCTTTCTTTTAATAAGCAATTAATATTCTAATATTTATCTAACTTTTAACAATTAGTTATATTATATGAACATTATTTGTAATATATATAATTTTTAATCTTTTTCTCAATAAAACAAGATTTTCGCTTAATTTTCATCTATCATTATTTCTATTTTTATTGTTAAGATTTTTCCCAATATCTAATTTTCTTGTTTGTTTGTTTAAATTCTTTTTTATTATCATAATCTAAATAAAAATTATATTACAATGTATATTAGAAATTAGAATTTTCATACTCAAAATAAAATAAATTTAAAGAACCAACGTATTTGAAATGCTTTTTCAACTGAACTTCATGAGATCAAACGTTTATTATTGCCGATATTGGCTTAATTAAAGAAAAATCAAGTTTTATCATTAAATTGTTATGGCCGTTACAAACAAATCTTAACAGACTTTACATTAAATATTAATTTATTTAGATTTCTTAATTAGTCTTTGCACTTTGTAAAATAAAAATCAATGTTATTATTTTTGACAATCATGTAAATGAAAGGTTTATCATCATGGATAAGGCATAAATTTATAAATTAAATATTTATAATATGTTTATGCAAATAAATAATTTAAAAATAACATAAATTAATATATCTATCCCTTATTTAAAATTTAGATTATTACATATTATGATACCAAAACTTTCTTTATATTTATATTTATTTAATATATATTGTGGCATATTTGAAATACATAACAATTTTTACAATTATTTATAATTAATTTTGGAAAATATGCCAAATAATCCATTTATAATGAATCAAAAGTCATACAGAGTGTTAAGATATTATTATGAAAAGATAACTAACTAAAGGTGAGGCGATAATTAAAACTGCAACCATAGTATAAATAATATATTATAAAATTAATAATAATCTTTAAATTAGATAATTCATAAATATTGATTTCTGTATGTATCTAATCTAATAATCTTATATGCATTTTACTTAAGACCAGCCAGTGCTGGTCTAGATGTTGATTACAAATTTAATAAATTCAAGTAATTTTATTATTCTAATTAAAATTTTGATATTTTTAATAAATGAATTCTTAATTTTCTTAAATTTTTTTTTAATTTTTATTCTCTTTACTTCATTTAGTTTAATTTTCTATTTATATAAATAGTTAGACTCAAATTGCAATTTATTATTTTCAATGCATCATATAAATTACTTAATAGCAAAATTTTGTATTTTTTATAATAGACTCTTAATAAATCAATAATAAAAGGATAACTTAGTTTCAAACAGAGTAAAACTAAAATCATTTCGATTAGAACAGAGGTAGATTTACTCCCTTATTATTCATTTATATATTTAATTGTAGCGAAAAATATTGCAATGGAACATATTTATCCTGTTGATACATCTAATTCGTTTAAATTATTAAGTATATAAGGTTTTTATCTTACTGCATATAATTAATACAGTAGTAAACATAAACCAAGCAATGAAGCCTTTAAAAATATATTTGTTTCAAAATATGTCATAATAAGGATAATTACTGTTTTTTTCTATAATTTTATCCATTCCCAAAAGTAATTTTCATTATTATATTCATTGAATAGATAACATATATGCTTTCTAAACTTTATCTTATCTAGTTTGTCTCTTTAGATGTATAAGAGTAGAAAGAGAGCAGATGGGATGAGAAATCCAATCAATCCTAATCCAAGTAAAACAAAGCCAATTATCCATTTTTAATGATTTTATGAATTATAAAGTAACGATACATCTCCTTAAATATATTCTATATCAGATATAATCCTCTTAGCCAATAATGAAAAAAGTCTAATATAATATTATTTAATTATACTGCTTTATTAATGAAGCATAATTTGATACATATAAGTACAAGAGTGTAGTAGATATTATGCTGCTATTAAATTTCTAGTGTTTGATTATTGAATATAACTTAAACCCCATATATATTATTAATAATTAGCACACCATTAACACGGTCATCGTGATTATTCTATTATAAACTAGAGATATATTATAGATTTATGATAAATAGCAATCCATATTGTTAGCCATAAAGTATGATGTGTTACTTGTCTAATTAATAAATGTAAATGAAAATTAAAATTAAAAAATTAAAAGTAAAAATTACTGAAAATATCCATAAATAATTAAGAAATAATTTAAGTAAGATACTTTCATGATCTTTATATATATATAATATTACCTTGATTTAGTTTGAATATTATTTTCACAAATCTTTATCTTATTTTCAATGAAGAAAATAATTTATTAGACTTATCAATACTTCTTAAAGTTAAAAGAGTAGAAATAAGGGCTCTATTAAATCATATCATTATATAATACCATATTGAGGTAAGAACAAATGGAAATACACTATTAGTTGCATCTTAACAATTTTGACAAGATGTATTTTCTTCATTTTTAAAATAATTTCCTTGTCCTCTAATATTATACATGTCACATTCTTCACACAAACCTCCAATATGTCCTACTAAACATAAATTATCTGACACAACCCATCCTCCTTCACAAAAATCAACAAATTTAAAACAATATTCAATCAAATCAGATTAATAATTAGGTCTCCAATAACCCTTCTTGAGTTAAATCTAATTTGAAGTTATAGATTGAAATTTATTTTAATCAAAAATGGAACATTTTGTAGTGTTGTATTAAAAAACTGTTAAAATTTAAGTATTATTGGTACATTATATTAGATTTTATAAATTTAGAATTATTTTAACAATATGTTACAGAATAATATCCTTAACTTGGTTAACATATTTAACAACCTGATTAAAAATAAAACTCCCCTAATTAACACATAAAACCTTTAATTTCAATATAATAAAACAAAGTGTCAGATTAATCATTAAGGTGACAAGCAATCTAAATTTAATTGGTTTGATTATTATATTTGTATGGATCAACAGTTATAGATAAAAATCTTAAATCAAAATTTTTAGATTCAGAATGATATTCAATATTTGCAATATTTGTCGAATCAATTAGAGTATCATTTAATAATGTTTAAATAAAAATTTCACATGTGGAATTAGAAAAATTAGGTAATATTTCATTAAAATTATTTTTATAAGATATTGAAAATTCTTCTAAATAATTCTCAAATTTAAGTTATGATGGATTATATATTTTATAATTAATAATTTCTTAATTGCTTGGTAACATTAATAATTTAGTTAATTACACCTTTCCTTATTCTATTACAAGATAAGGTTACAAAAACAAAATTTTTGATGTTTAATTGTTTATCTTTTTCTAAATAGTTTTCATCTCAAAATTATTAATTGATAAAGATAAATGAGTTGGCATTTCTTAAAGATTATTAGGTAAGAGAGATGCTGAATTCAGTTTCATCCATGATTTAATAAAATTGTCTTAATTTAATTTACTATTACCTTATAAGTAAATTCCTCCTCCTTATTCAGCTTTGTTGTTATAAAGGATTGTTTGAGATATTTTAAATTAATTGTTATTGATTGAAAAATACAAAGCTCCTCCTTAAAAAGTTGCAATATTGTTTAATATTTTCAAATTTACAAGAGAAATTCTTACATTTTAAGCCATAATTGCTGAACCTATAGTGCCTTTATTCATGTTGAATAAAGAATTCTTAATCTTTATTGATGATTCTTATTAATTTTAAGATTTAGCATATATACATCCAAAATTTCTTATATTATTCTTAAGACAATATAATTCTTGAATATATATTGATAAATATTATGTTAAATCAAATTAAATTATTCCATTCCAACATTCTAAACAATTATTATTTGATATTAATATCTAAATTAATTTTATCTTGTTTTGAGAATGTATACTTTAAATATATACTAAAGACCCCTTTTGACTTGATAAAAGCAAAATTTGTTGAAATATCCATGCTATTTTTATGGGAACATTTAAATCTTAATTTAATAATTAAAGATTGATGTTACAACTGTTGTAATCTAATGTTATTTTGAAGTATTCAATTAAATTAGTTTTAATTTTATTGAAATCAAATGAAACCAAATTTATAATCTGAATATTCTATAAAACAACTTAAAATTACATAGAAGTCGTTTATCCAATATGAATCATGTTAATTGGATAAAATGATTAACCTTCAAATATAAGTATATTTGCCAGTTATAAAGTTTTTGTATCTAAAACTTTTAGGATTGAAGACAATAAAATGCCTTGAAAGGTTAAATTTTAAATTCTTAAATTGCATCCTTATAAATTAATAATGGCATTATCGTGCGTTATTTTCTAAATTTCATAAATAGTTATAGATTCCATTTTAGAAAAGTATTGAATTAATGAATTTTCATCTTATTAAATTGAAATGTTCTCCATAGATACAATATTTGATTTAAGATTTAAAAGTTAAAACTCTATTTTTATAAACTAATTAACTAAAGAGAAACAATTTTAAATGACTATATTTTGAAATATAATTAAATTAGACTTAAATGATGGAACTATTGATAGGATTGATGGAGTCAACCTATTTTATATCTCTTTAAAGGTTATATTTTGAAATTCAAGTTCTAAATGACTATTTTTTGAATATATTGATATTGCTCCATCATTCTCTCCAATTTAAGAGAAAATATTTTATGCCGATATCATAGAACAGTTTGCTATCATTATTTTACCTAAGCCTTAAGTAACAATATCAAGTATAGAGCTACTTTAAGCTAATATATCCTTAAAAAAACAATTATTTATAGTAAAATGTTCTGTTGTTATTGCAAGAGCACCTCCTTTGTTTTAAATTGTAAAAACTTTATTTATCAATTAATTGATGATGTCTTAATTAAAATTTTCATAAAAATTTATGTTAAAATATTTATTCCAAAATGATTAGATTAATTAATTATGATTCTTAATAAAAATATTTTTAATTGAGACTAAATTCGTATTGATATAAATAAAGGAATTCGTAGAATTGGTCAATGCATTTCTTTCTGAAATTAAATGAGATATGAATAAAAAACTTTATTATGAATTAATAAATAATAAACTTGAAGATGATTGGGATGGATCATCAATAAGTTAATTAAAACTATTATCTTAGAAGTGAATGTTCTCTATTTCAATCATTTAATTCCTTTCTGAATATATTGCTAATTATGATAGTACTTGACCTAAATTCTTTTTTAATAAAATATTTCCTATAAAATTTAAGCCTTTAAGTTTAATACTCTCTCTTTAGTTAGTTACTGATGAATTGGATAAAATTTAAATAAAAGATTAATCTATACTATATTGATTTACAATTGTAATATTTGTTAATGATAAAGTTAAGTAACCTGAAATGTAAAATAATTGCGAGTTTTCTACCACAACCTCTAAACATTATATAGATGTCGGTACTCGTTATTTTTATATTATATTAGTATATAATAAATCTTCCACATTTATCAGAGATACACTTAATAGAAAAAAATATTGAAGATGATATGAATTTATTATTTCAAATTTCTTTATCTATAGGCTAAAACAAATCATATAAAATAGATAAGTAGAGGAATTTTAAGCATTTGGAATACTATTTTCTAAGAATTAAATATTTTATAATTTAATTACTACTTAATTAAGTGTTGATTATTATTCTGTAAAAATAAGAGAAGTATTAATTAGATCATTATTTTAAATATCAAATTAATCAATTGATAAACTATTTGATTATCTATTTGATAACAATTTATAACATAAAATTGTCTATAACAGTTAACAATTTCTTAAATTCAATTACATAATTAAGTGAGTAATTATATTTCTATTTTTAAATATATTAGATTCAAATTAAATAAAACTTCATAATAAGTACTATAGTAAGACTATTTTAAAATAGTAAGAACTTTGAATTTTTTAATTTATTCAAATTTAATGAAACTTCAACTAATTTAAATTAATAAATGTCTGTGCCATTAATTAATAGTGAATCTTAAATGAAAGATTCATGAATTATCAAATTAATAATATTAATCATAGATTATGTTTTAATATCTTATATAAAACTTAAAATCGTTGAGTTAAAAAATTAGCAATTTTCAATTTTAAAATTTTAAATTAAGGTATTATTAGGAAAATCATAAAATTGAAAAAGAGTAGCTTGAGTTAAATTACAATTTCTAATTGTGAAATTTAGTAATTTGATTGAATCATCTTAATTTTGAAATCTTATTAAAAATACAACAGAATCTAATATATTTAAATCACTTAATGTGATATTTCTGATCTCAAAATGTTGACATTATTTTATTTAAATTGAGAATATTATTTAATCTTAATTATTTGCCATAAATTTAGAATCAGTAAGTATTAAGTTCGTAGGAGCATCATCATTAATTATAAATAATTCTAAGGTTTAAAATATAATAAATGTTAGTTTTTTGAAACTGATAGAATCAAAATTTTTTATTTCTATTATTGGTTAATAAGTAGATGGAGAGTGATTACCTAGAAATGTTAACTCTACCCAAAATAAAGAAAAAATTCCTTTTTTTAATTCATTAGTTAACGATTCTTCATATAATTTTTCAGCGATACATAAATCTTGAATAGGAATGATTAAATTCAATTTTTGTGCTCCAATTTGATTAAAATATTCAAAATTTAAATCATCAGTATAAGACCTCCATCCATCAAATATTTTACTCAAATCTTCACAATTATTGTAAAGCTAATTATGATTTAATATGTACTTAATATGAAATAAGTTGGTCACATATGCCATTAAGGCAATATTTAGCTATTTATTAATAAGGATCAATAATAATATTTTAGTGTTACCTTTTTTGAATACATTTATAAGTATACTTTCTATTTTAATCATCTATTTCATATGCCGGATTAATATTCTACAATAGATATCTATTTCATACTTAAATCTCTTCTGTTGTTCTTTATTCACAAACCAAACATAACAAAGGACAAATTACACATGTCTCTTTTTATATCGTCCTTAAAGGTTCCATATAATAATCCTGAATACATTTGCTACAAGTAAATCCTTTATAAGATTATTCTTCTTTTTTACAAGATACACAATTTAAATCACAGTATAAACTACAGAAATTTTGGTTCAATTCATATTTATCTATACATTTGATTGCAAGAGGTGTTATATGTAAAAAGTTAGCAGACTTTGGATACATATACTTATTTGGTAGAAATAACATTAAAAAACTTTGTATTTATTACATCCAAGCATCACCTTTAGTAAAGTCTCCTTCTATCCACAATTTAGCATATTCTACTTGACAGATTCTACAATGCCCAGTTGTAAGAGAACTTGAATATCCATCTTCACAAATAATACACTTTATAATCGATTAAGGTGTTTAAATACATTATTTACAATTAGATATATATTTTTAACAGTTTGTTATTTCTGGAGCAACTCCAAAATCTTAAATAGCTGATAACGTACATAATTATTAATCTAATGGGTTTATAAAAGATCTCTTGCAATTAGGTAATGTTGATTCTTTATAAATGCATATACCTAATGTAAAATCAAATATAAATCCATCTAAACATAATGCACAACCTAGTTTAAGAAACTCATCTTTTTAAAAGGTTTAAAATTCACTATATAGAGTACATTTAGTTAAATCATTACTTGAATATTCAAAGCAAAACTAACAATTTTCTATTTCACATAAATTACAAAGATTTTCAGATGTTATATAATAAGGAGCTTAGCAATTATTTTTCTTAATGACCCCACGAACGATTTCTTCATAAATTCCATTTCTTAATCTCGATATATTTGAACATTTTTTGCAAATTTATTTTGTAATTAACATTATACAAATTTCACACTATTTAAGATTGCAAAAATAACTTTCAAAAGTTTTTTTTGAAGATGAGTAAAATCTTTGAAAATTCTCATTTGTCTTTTCAAAATCTAAGTATACTGAATCAAATTGATCTTGATATTTATCTTGATATTGATATTTATATCGATTCTGATATAAACCCAATTACTATGGCTTAATATCAATTCCATCAAATATATAATATGTCTTTAAATTATCAATTTTATATTGTGCTGGACTTCCCTATTTATCAATATAGAGATTAGTTTAACAGTATGGATCATTTTGCCAACCTTTAGGATTTTGAATACATTCCAAACATGTTATTATAGTATCCTTTATAAAAGAAGGGCTAGATTAATTTAGAAATGATTTACCATTTTAAGCAAAATCCATCTTTATTAAATTATCCTTAAGGACAATTTAATGTTGAATGATATTCAAATTCTGGATCAAGTGATAAATTATAGTTTTCCGTATTCTTACACTCTACATCATCAATATAATCAAATGGACATACACAGACTTTAAATTATGGAATATATATTCGTTTTGATTCTTTTGAACAAGATAAACAATCTTTATTTGTAGGACCTTCACATTACTCGCAACTATGATGACAACCTTAGAAAATATCTACTTCTGATGCAGAATTACTAAATTTCATATTTTTCAAAATTCTAGTCAAATAATTAGTCGATGATTTTAATATATTTCCATATTATAATTTAAATTATACTTCATGGAATTAATGAACTAAAAATTAAGTTTCATATAGGGTTTAATCTAATCCTTCATAAAATGTAATTTGTATTTAAATTACCTTATTTCTCAAAGAGACATATAAGAAATGCCATAATTTAATATTATTGATACTCCATTCTTTTTATTACAAAAAGCTTTACTTATTAAAATCATAATCAACAAGTGGAAATAAAAAGCTATATGTAGTCACAATTAATTTAATTTATGAATTTGAAAATTTATAGAATAATTAAAATGGTGATAAATTTTCATTTTTAGCATAATGGTTCTCGAAATTTGCTGATATTTTTAACAATTAATAAATAAATGATTAATCTTCTCGACGAATATTTGAAATTTGGATCCAAGTTTCAAGTTAAAATTCATCACAATTTATACTTTCTGAAGCAAATACTTCATGGTTTAATTTGGAAATGTCAAAATTTGGTAAATTTTTTAATGAATTAGTTTTGCTAATACATTCTGGATTATCCATTTGTTAGAAATACTTGAAATAATCAAAGTTATCATAATTTTCTTATAAATTATCTATAGATGGATTTAATATTGCCAATTTTCCAGGAAAATAAGAAAGCTTTTAAATTTCTTGAATCCAAAGTATTTATGATTCTTCTACAATTAAACCTCCTCCTATAACTATTGTTAAATCTTAATGTTTAAAAGGACCTTAAATATTTAATTGTTCACTTGTTATTAAATTTTCTCCTTGAAATATAAAAAATCCAAAACTTCCTTCAGATGGTACAATATTAAGTCCAAAAAAATACCAATAATTTTCATACACTAAAGGATTGATTTCATATTTATAATTGTACATTTAATTATCACTACTTAGAAATTAAACCTTCTTTTCAATAGTATTAGTTTATGGATCAACACAATCATAATAGAGTAAGTTAATTTCCTTATTTGTATTTTCAATAATTGAGTTTTAAAGAAAGCAGTGACTATCAAACATTCCTATCAATCCAACTTAGGAAATTATGCTTAAAGGAAGGTATTTGCTCCAAACTCCATAACTAAAAGCATCAAATTTATTATAGTTCTGTGTTCCACTGTTAAATGGATATGTTTAGTATTATTATTCCTCATTTAATCTTCGGACATAGGATGAAAGTACAAAGTGTAAGTGATTTAAACCCAAAATAAAAAGAATCAAAAAATTTATCATAAAAAATTAAAGGTTTGAATTTAATTACATTTCAAGTTTTAGATAACTTATAAAGTGTCCTAGACGAGAATTTTACAGGAATTCTTAAAAATTCCTTAAGTATCTATTTAGAATTATTTTAAAATCTTGTTTTAGTTTTAATGCAATTAACTTGATTTAATTATTATAATTATTTAAAGTTCTGATTAAAAAATTATGAGAATGCCTAATAATATATAGAAATTTATGATTTCTTTTTACATAAATTTAATATGATAAAATAATTATTCATAAAGAAGAAAGTGAAGTGAATGCTTGATCTCTAAATGATTATTAGGAATTTATATCATTCGAATTTTTATTATCAATTTATACTTTAATGCATTACGATAATTTGCGAAATAAATTGTATAATTTCTTAAAGTAATAAAGTGTGAAATCTTTGCTCAATCAAATATAGTCGTTTATTTAAAAACTGTTTAGTTATTTGATTCTTGAAATTTCAAAACACTCGAAGGTATCAATTCATTTGTCACAAATTTGACCTTTAGCATATATAATTAGAATTAATATATCATATAAATTTTAATTATTAGAAAAAGAGCTCAAGAGTTTTTGGTTGGGCAATTAAGCATTGATTTCACCAGTTAGCGTTTTTTAATGAATAAAATCTGTGAGAACATTTCATATATTTTACAAAGCTAGGAGGCTCTAAAATAATCTAATTCCAATTTAAAGATATTTTAGATCTATATCAAATAGCACTTTCAAGTTTTTTATATACACAAATAAAAATAATTAAGCCTTAATGAAATGATCTCTTAAAAAAGACGAAAATTATAAATGAATAACATGATCTTTTTTTGATTATGTATGATATACGAAATTTATATTTATTATTATTAGGCATCATTAAATCAATTACTCAAATATTTAAGACATGATTCTTGAAATAGGTGATTTTACTATGGACATAATAAGCTGCCTCTTTAACTTCATTAGCTGAATATGTTGATCTGGAATATCCAGGATCATTTACATTGAAAGTGTCTCCTGAATATGATGTCATCAACACATAATGACCACCATTATTGACATTCAAAATAACATGTAATCCAGCATCAAATTTATCTAAAAAATAATTATACTTCTTACATTTTGCTTAAGTAGTTGTGATCCACCCTTAAAAAACAAAACCAAGAGGATTAATTGAGGCCCAAACAAAAAGATCGCCAGAAGCATACCCTCCATTCTTTCTTAACCATGTATTCATTGTTTTTGGAGTAGTTGTACCATCTGTTACTACACCATAAGTATGTAACATCATGGCGATAGATGAAATTAAACATCCTGCTCTGCATATTGTATTTGCACTTGTTCCTAATTAATCATTAGCCCAAGCAGAATCACATTATTTGTATAATGTATATTATCTTGCATTTGCAATACATATTACAAACAAGATGGCTATGATTTTATTCATTAATAATAATAATGAGATGACGTCAAAACTAATATATATTAAAAATAATTAAAATTAAGGTGAACCATAATTCTATATTCAATGCTTAAATATAATATTAATGCTTAAAATTATGTAGATTAAGAAAAATATTTCATATCTAATTTAATAATTAATTTATGCAATCATCATTATATTTTTTATAGAAATTTCATCAAAAATTTGTAGTATGATTATTCTTATCAACCTTAAATGAGAGAATGATGGGTATTTTTCATAAAAATGATTATAAATAAAAAAATGA